CGCCCTATAAAAGACAATCCTCACCAGCATCTGGTTGCAATTACCAACAAGTAACGCGACGCAAACGTCGCTAACCCTCCAGTGAAAGGATGTGATTTCCTTGAACATATGATGCTCACGAAGAAGATCACAGAACTAATGTGCTGCTATGCATCTATAAAAAGATAAATAGTTCTCGTCATCATGGCTCGCTTGCTAATTGATTGGATTTGATTTAATCATCGTGGGACATGGGTGGGTGGGTGGGTGTGGGATATGTCTGATTATGGATGAAGTGAAGACGTACGCCCACACCCACACACACCCACACTCCACACACACCCACACTCCACACACACCCACACTCCACACACACTCACACTCACACTCCACACCCACACACACCCACACACATCCACACTCCACACACACCCACACTCACACTCCACACCCACACACACCCACACTCCACATCCACACTCCACGTCCACACCCCACGATGGTTAAATCAAATCGAATCAATTAGCAAGCGGGCCACGGTGACGAGAACTATTTATCTTTTTATAGATGCATAGCAGCATATTAGTTCTGTGATCTTCTTCTTCGTCAGTGCCATATGTTCAAGGAAATCACATCCTTTCAGTAGAGGGTTAGCGACGTTTGCGTCGCGTTATCTTGTTAATAAGATAACTATTGTAATCATTTTAGTTTTCACATTGATTATTCTGTTCCAGCGTTGGTTTTAATGTGTCACTTTTTCTTTAAGTCTTGCTATTGTATTCATAAAAAATAAGAAAGTAAAGGAAGCCGAAAACAGAATTTCCTGTGTGAATTATCATTTGACCTTACTTTATACATGTAAAGAAAACAAAGCTCTAACCAACCAACATCCATCTCTTCCTTTTGTATCAAAATCTCTCTTGTATTTTTCATCTCGTTCATTACTTCTTCTTTCGCTCATTTATTGTAGATATTCTAAGCAATCATCTTCACTCTCTTATATAAATAGTGTTAATCAAAACAAAATTAGCTACGAACATCACAAGTACATAATTCAACATCGGTCATGAAATACTGCATCATAGTCATCCCGCTTCTTCTTATTCTACTCGCTCTACGTCTTCACGCGTACTTGAATGATACATTTTCGAAAAAGACTACAATTGCACATCCCGAGACAGGTCTTTTCTTTGACTATATCGGTCTGTACACACCATCTGAAACAATCATTCATAATTCAGTGATTTTTCCGATAACAACAGCTACATGCCACTTTCTACCATTATCAGCTGCACAAAATATTCCCTCCTGCAATATTACCAGAAAAAGGAATAAACGCTTCGTCGGCATTATCAGTTTGGGTGTTGGAATGGCCAGTCTCGGTATATCTGTAGCAAATTCTATGCAAATCGCAAGTCTTCAAGAACAAGTAGCGGTCGTGGAAAACACTCTATCAAAATTCTCTCACACTATGTACATATATCAGGCACACCTAGTAAAAATTATGTCGAAGCAAATAGAATTTACAGATGAGCTTCAAAAGACACAGAAAGCTATCGATGCAATGATACCTATCTTAGACTCACACGCCGCAGCTATCAATGCTTTAGAAATTGGTTTTGAACAGCTACATGCTCAATTTCAACAATCCTTCCTTTACTTAGCAATGACTAAAATCTTTCGTAACGAACTCACCCTAGATTTTTTGTTGCCAGATGACCTACGTAAGGTGGTATATGAGGTTGCTAAAGAAGGAAGCCTAACATTTCATCATTACCATGGATCAATCCCCCTTGCTCAAATCATTACTAATCTTCTCGTTCGTCAGCAGGTAGACTTCGTCTCCAGATCGCAATATACAACTGGGAATTCACAAGAAATAGGTCGTCTCGTCATTACTAATTTTTTCGCCGTTCCACGACAGGATCAAATGCCCTTCTACACCTACAAATTACTGACGATCCCCTTCTTTCATGACAATAAAGCAATCCAACTCGCTCAAATGCCTCGATATTGGGCAATTAATCCAGCAGATAATACCACTATGGAATGGCATAATCCTGAAGAATCTGGGTGCAACCTTCAACTGATGACAACATGCCGTGATACTCCACCTATCCATACGATCTCAAAAGATACTTGCTTCGATCAAATCATAGAAAGGCTTCCGCTATCCAGATGTGAAACAATACCAGTCCCTACTACGAAATATTTTGTTCAACAAGTCAGAGATAACTTTTGGATTACTTCGTCACCTGCACCAATACATTGTATGAAAATTCCAAAGACCGAATATGCCAGTTCCATGCAACATATCTGGAGGAAGAATGAAGAAATAATACTTCCACCTGTTGCTCTGATAAATGTGAGTGAAGGTTATACAGTTGCGTGTCCTGGCTTCAGTTTAGTAGGCCGTCCTGTAACTTCAAACAGGTCTTCACTCGTTATTTTGTACAATAAAGGCGTGCTTGCTAAAAATATTTCTGTTATGAATGTCCATCGACATATCACTGAAAATATGACATGGTTTAAGAGTAATATGATCGACCAACTAAATAACACTTTGAAGGACTTTATACGTGAAACAAATGCTGTTTCCACCCTTCAGACCTCTCTTTCTACACGCATGTGGCCTTATAGTATGTTAAGTTTTAGCTGGATTCTCTTCGGACTGAGTGCTGGTTTATTATATTATGTTTATCGACGCAAACGACGAAATAACTAAGCAAATCTTTAAATTATTCTACTTTCCTAATCATCAACCAAAAGCACCACGTAAATAATTAATTTCACAATACGGAGAAGAAAAAACTGTCTTTTTTTTCTAGACTTTGATTTGCAGTTCAAATATTATTTACTAATCTTCAGACAGATAAATCATGGCTGTGACAATATTCATTCACATAGGAACATAATCTGTATTCTCCTGAATTCCGTTTTCTCAAAATATATTATATGATGAAGTTAGAGAAACCCAACTGTCACAATACACATGTTATATGTTTTCATATTTGAACAGGACAGTGTACTTCTCAGCAAGTGTGTGTTGAAAATTGTTAATATCTGTCTATAATTGGCACTCGAATATGCATGTATATATTAGAAAGTTTCTTTTTTTCTATTGTTCAACTTGAAGATTCATTTTTCATGTCAAAGATTTGTAAATCCAGACTTAGAAGTTAGTGTAGTTGGTTTTTTTTTATTCGGTTGCTTAACTGTTCAAATTTCATTCATAATTTATACATTATACTAACTATATGTAAAAATATTGATAATTACAATAGCTTTTATATTCATGAATAAAAATTTTCTAAAATTGTGAACTATTTGTAGAATTTAGACGATATGCATTTATTGTAGATTTTACTAATATAAACATTCACATCTCCGTTTAAGTTTATTCATTCGAAATGTCTCAAACATCAAGTAAGTATCATGTAGAATTAATTTTTCAAATTTATATTTGTGTATTCCTTTGCACCATAGATTTAACAATGCATACAAACAATGTTACAGACTTATCGGCAATTATAACTGATAAAAATAAAAAAGTAAGAACTAACGACATCGTAAAAAGTTTTATATTTTTCTTCATTAACAACAGACCACTTCGGCTGGTGCAGAAAGACGAAAAAAAAGACCTGCTCCTCTACCACCTAATTGTCAAGAAAAGCAAGGTATGACTGATGATCATGCATCCGAAGAACGAACTCCAAATGTTATTTCAAGATATGTTGATCAATCAATATGTGTCAATGTGACTGAGACAACGGTGAAAGCTCCTGCAAACGTTCAAGTGTTACTTAAACTTGCTGGTGAAGAATTGCTTAAAATAGTGATTAAAATCGAAAACGGATATCCGCAATCATCTTCTTCCACGATTGGATAAAATATCAATTGCTTCATAGATGAAGCGTCGTTTTGTTTTTGCATTGTGAATGTAGTGTTGTAGTACTTAAGTTTCCATATCATTTTCGTTGTTTTTCTGGGTGTGAATACGGGGTAACCGTGGTGGGTTTTTCTGCATAGATTTATGACACCTTTTCTATATACACACGGCCATCCACACTCATACTCTGAGTTCTAAATTATTGCTTTCTCAAAATTACATAATAGAAGAATAAAACTCACTAAAAAACTCAAACATTCTTTAAGAAATCTTTCATTGTAGATTATTGTTAAAAATTCAAAACTTTTTCCATACTACTTAGAAAAGGAAATGTCACATACATCTAGTAAGTAAAATGTCAGAAGCCTTGTTCTTTGCGACTATGTCTTGATTTATATCTGACCTCTTTAGAACCAGCAACAAGCATGAATATGAACAAATCTTCGGACTCAAGGATCGCATCCACCCAAGATAAGGTAATAATGGTGTATATTCTTATACAATATCCATACATTTATTATAATAGGCAGCAACTGAATTATCAGCACAAAAAATGAAGCGAAGTATTTCTGGTGATATTCAGATGGAAGTAAAAAAAATCATGATTAACCATGAGCATTCAAGCCAGAAGAGTCAATTGATTGCTGCTGCACCGCCTGCAATTAAATTTGTTAGTGCAGCTACGATGATCAGCTTGACACAAACAAGCAATAATGCGATACCGGAAATATCTGATGAAGAGTTACTTGAAATGGCTTTGATGCTTGAAAAACAACAAGAACAACAACAATAAACTA